AATCAGCAGCAAGAACACCAACTCAAAGAGAATTAAGAATGAAATGGCAGTAGAGAGGGAAAAGTTAGTACTCTAAAAAGAAAGCAAAACATTAAAACTTTGAAAGTAAGTCCTAGAAAACCAAAAGTCCCTAAAATGGAGAGGCTAAAATGCATGTTATAAAAAAGGTGTGAAGATGTGGCTCAGTTGTATGTATGAAAACCCTGAGTTCGATCCCCAGTACAACATAAACTGGGCTTAGTGGTACATGCCAGTGATCTCAGCACTCGGGAGGGAGAGGCAGAAAGAGCAGAAGATCATCCTTGGCTACTCAGCAAGTTCAAGCAAGGCCAGCCTGGGCTCTCTGAAGCACTGTCTCAAAAACCAAGTGAGCAGACAAGCAAACAGTGGTGAAGCCGATGCTGCTTTGAAGCCAATCTGCTGGAGTCAAATTAGAGTTCGTTCTTTTGTTTATCAATGGGATTCTGGGTTTATATACTGGAAGAAACAACCGATCCAGGTTGGAGCTGTTTCCTAAGACAACTGATCAGCAGGCAAGGTTTTGAGATGACTGGATGCATCTCACAGACAATAGCCTTAAGCTTGTGACGATCTCTGGAGGTACTTGAACAGGTCTGAGACTGGGAACAGAGCAGGAGAGCTGTAAATGTTAGGCAAGAGCCTTTGTTTTCATGAATACTTTAGCCTCAAGTTATACCCATGTCAATAATTTCATCTCCCTAGAGCTTCTTTTCACAAGCAGTGGTTAATTAAGAAGCTTTTTGGAGTCTGGCTTTAGGCAGGATTTTATTATCTACTAAGAATAGAACATAGAGGGCTTGTAAAAACCTAAGACTTAATAAAAGCCTAGAACATTGTAGATATTTAATGATGCTGAGGTGTACAATACCATGTTCACACACACACACACACACACACACACACACACACACACACACAAGTTAAAATAGGGCTGGAGACTTAAATGAAGAGTGCTTGCGGGCCTGGAGAGATGGCACAGAGGTCAAGAACACTGGCTGTTTCTTCCAGAGGACCCAGGTTCAATTCCATGTCAGCCCCGACATGGCGATTTACAACTGTGTGTCACTCCAGTTCCAGGAGATCCGACATCCTCACGCAGACATCCATGCAGGTAAAACACCAATCAATGCTCAAAATAAAAAATGATTATTTTAAAAAAAGAAAAAAAGAGTGATTCCTGCTCTTGCAGAGGACCTGGGACCTAGCACACAGGCTAGGCAGCTCACAGCTGCCTGTAACTGTAGCTCCAGGGACTCTGACACCCTCCTCTGGCCTTGGAGGGCACCTGAACACACACACACACACACACACACACACACACACACACACACAAATAAAAATAAAAAAAATAGCCTGACATTGATGGCATGTGCCTTCAATCTCAACACTCAGAAGGCAGAGCTAGGTGGATCTCTGTGAGTCTGAGACTAGCCTAGTCTACATTATGAGTTCCAGGACATCCATGACTACATAGCAAGAACTATCTCAATAAATAAATAATAAATAACAAATAAATAAATGGGGGCAGTGAGAGAAGATACTGTGCTTCCATATTTGGAAGACAGTGATACAAAATGGGAAGAACCTGGGAATGGAGGTAAGGGTATGTGTGTGTATGTGTGTGTGTGAGTGTGTGTGTGTGTGTGTGTGTGTGTGTGTGTGTGTGTGTGTGTGTGGTGGAAGAGACTGAGGACATTTGTTTAAAAGGAATACTAAGTTCAGCATATGTTTGAATCCTGTTCATATAAATTATTAGTTCTGACCTTAGGCCTTATTGTTCAACTCTTTTCTTCCTCAGTTTCCTCATTTGAAAAAATGAAGGTTATTGTGATATTTGTAGGAAAACAGACCAACCTGGAAATCAAATGTTAAAGACATAGACCAGACTCAGTAAGGCAAATAATGCATGCTTTCTTCATGTGAGGAGTCTAGATTTAAAATTACATATGTATGCGTGTTACAAAAGGACAAATGAGGTTCGATCATAGCAATCCATTTGATAGACGTGTGAGGATTAAATACATTAATATCTGTAAAGCAAATGAATCCATGTCAGACACATCAGAAATACTAAATAAGTGCTTGCTATCACTGTTATCATTCTTTTCTTAAAGACCTTTAGAGGAGATGAGGTGAAGACTCTGTTGGGAAGCAGGTCTGTGTGGGACAGAAGTTTATGAGTCTCCATGACACCTAATAGGTTTTCTGCCCCTCCCCCCAGTAGGTTTCTCTGGCAATGCAGTAAGCCAGAGCAAGCCGAATTGAAAAGTATAACAACAGTTTTATTTGAGCAAAGCAACTGCTGGGTGGGTTCTCCAGTCTCAGAGATCAAGGCTGGAGAAGCTGCACGCTTGGACTTAAAGCAGGTAGGTTATATAGGTTGTAGGCGAGGCGTGATGACGTGTCTGCCACAAGCTGGATTTGTGCCCAAGGATGGTCAAAAGCTGAATTTTTAGGTGGGGACTTGGGCTGCTGGCAGCAACAGGGGAGGAAGTCGCAACAGTCACCAAGAATGAGGAACTGGGCTCTTTGGTGCCTTTTCTTTGTTGGAGAGGACTGGGTTTGGGGAGAGAGAGAGAGAGAGAGAGAGAGAGAGAGAGAGAGAGAGAGAGAGAGAGAGAGAGAGATGGGGCCTTCTGAATCATGCAGGCACAAACGGGAGGTTCCAACCGAACAACACCCTCTTCCCAGCACTGATTTCCAACAGTTGCTTAACATACTACAGGGCAAAGAATAAACAATAAAGTTATCTTGTTTGAATGATGATAGA